AAGAAACATACCAATCAATATTATACTTCTTCTTCTTCAGTGCCTTATCCGCTCCGGATGTTGGCGATCATCAAGGCTATAATCGTTTTGTTGACTGCTCTGCGAAACAGCTCCGCTGAGGTCATCCCAAACCATTGTCGGAGATTTTTCAACCACGAGATACGACGGCGTCCCGGTCCTCTTCTGCCAAATACTTTACCCTGCATAACGAGTTGAAGAATTATATATTTTTCTTCTTTCCGCATCACGTGGCCGAGGTACTCAAGCTTACGTCGTTTAATTATATTAAGCACTTCTTTTTCTTTTGTCATGCGCTGTAGGACCTCCACGTTGGTGACATGGTCCACATAAGATTTTTTAGTATCCTGTATATCCACATCTCGAAGGCTTCGATTCGTTATATATAATATTATACAAATCATCGAAAATATCTACCTCCATAATCGAATACAGGCAAAGATAAATGGAAAACTAACACAGTGTATACGAGTACAAAGCGGAGAGTCAGACAGGAAGACTCGTTGAGTCCACTTCTCTTTAATATAATAATGGACGAAAAAATACAAGCAGTACGTAAAGGTAATGGCTACAGAATGGGGAACAGAGAAATCCAAATATTATTTTATGCAGACGACGCCGCATTAATCGCCGAGACAGAAGACGAGCTCCAAAGATTAACACATATCTTCAATACAACAGCTAAGAAATACAATATGATAATATCAGCAGAAAAAAATAAATGTATGACAACATCTAAATACCCACTACGGTGTAAAATCTAAATTGATGGGAAAATAATAAATAAGGAAGCAAGGTTTAGATTTCTGGGAATAGATATAACTAGTTACGGAGATGTTGAAGAAGAAGTACGACAACAAAGCTTAAAAGCAAGTAAAGCGGCGGGTTCTCTTAATGACACAATCTGGAAGGACAAAAACCACAAGAATCTGGAAGACTAGAATCTTTAAAGTAGTATTTAGACCTATATTAACATACACGGCGGAGACAAGACCTGACACATTTAAAACGACACGATTGCCAGAAACAACAGTGATGAAAATACTCCGACGAATATCAGGGAGAAGTCTTTTGGATAGGGAGAGAAGCGAAAACATAAGAGCATGCAATATAGAAGTCATAAATGGATGGGTGACAAAACGAAAACACGAGTGGAACGAACATATCAGTAGAATGGCAAAGGATAGAATAGTACGAATAGCACGAGATAAGTCACCAAATGGACGAAAAAGTATTGGCAGACCAAGAAACAGATGGTGCGACAATTTAAACAATTTAGACGGCTAATCTATAAGAAGAAACTGGCCTTAAAGCCTACATACTAGAAGGAATAAGAAGAAAAATGAGAATAGGGACGGTCATATTAATATCTTTATTATAACAATGTTTCTTGAAATAACTGAGTACACAGCAAGACTACTTTGCTGTGTAAACGAGGATTTATGTTTAATACGGAGGGAGAGAGAGTTTCGATAACTGGTGAGAAAAATATATTATGTGCAATAACTAAGTAGACTGACATAGTCATGTTTTGTTACTGGAAAAAAATCAGCTTAGTAGGGAATTTCAAGCAAAAAGAGATTTTACGATTTTTTTATGGCTTTCTGGTTTTATAAATTCGAAACGCAATAAATTGAGAAGTTGTAAGGTGAGAAGATGTAAAATAGTACAATAAAAAGAAGGCCTTTAGAAAGGTTTGATTCAATTTGTTTTTTTATGACCATAAAAGAAGCCCTGCCCTCTGAACTCTAGCACCCTACAATAAAGTCGTTCTAGGAACGCACCCCTAAAATGTTTATAAATATAATATGTGTCTGACTTGCCGATATGAATAAGGCAAATAAAATTAAATTATTAGAAATTTTTTTTTGTATTACCATATTATATATTAAAATATCACAATAATATATATATATATATATATATATATATATATATATATAATATATATATATATATATATATATATATATGTATATTCCATTTAATTTATTTGCCAAACTAAATTGTGAAATATTTTTATTTTTCCGCAGTTTTTACATGTGATACACCCATTATTTATAAGAATATCTTTATGATCTAAACTTCAGGAATTTTCTATTTGAGACTAATTTGTAATTATTTATATTTTGTATAGTTTTTTTTGTCAAAAATTATTTATAGTTTTATTATACTCGAGTTTCTTCCAGAAGATTCATTAAAAGAAAAGAATTTTACATACTTATAGATTGAAAACAAGAAATAAATATTAAGAAACAGTTGTTGATTATTATTTCCCCAAATAAATAATTGTGGTCTTAGCCCCAAAGAAAAACTGATTATGAAAGAGTGTAGAAGGAATTTGTAAATTATGATAATACTTCATTAAAGAAACGAAATCGTTTATAGTCCAGGTAAGATTCGTAATATTGTTTAACGATCACGTAAGACTGGTAATATTGTTAGGTAATTACGTAAGTTTTGTAAAACATAAAGCTGGAGTAGTTGAAGATCGCACAATAACTGAAAAACATCTCTAAAAAACAAAATTTTGAAGCAAATGTTATTGAAAGTGGTAACATTAAAAAAATCTATAAATAAAAAGACTTTTACAAATACATATGTTTCTCCATGACGTTTAAAGTTTCCATTGCTCTACTGAAAAACCCAACCAGACTTTATGCTCTTCTGACAAAGAATCTTCCGAAACTCTCTTTGGCATTTTCACAGGTTTTTACTAAAGAATCGAATGATGGCTATATACCTGTTATTAACTATAATCGTGTCGGCGGCGCATCCTTATAGCATGTTGAATTCACAGTGGATCATGTCAAAAAATACTTATTTAAACTTCGCACAGCCGCTTAACCTGGTTTAGATGGTTTAACAGCAAAACTGTTAAAGGGTGCGCAGACACGCTTGCAATACCCTTAACGTTAATTATGCAAAGTTCTTTCATCCAAAACTCATTAGTTGGAAATTAGCTTCAGTCACCCCTATTTTTAAAAAGGAAACAAAGTCGACCCCAACAATTATCGTCCGATTAGTTTGCTGCCAGTAGTTGCCAAATTTATGGAAGCCATTATTTCCGAGCAGATGACCAAATTCCTTCTCCAGGAACATGTTATTCCAACACAACAACATGGATTTGTCTCTGGTCGTTCTACTCTAACCAATCTCCTATATTGTGTTAACGACTGGACGTCATCCCTTAACAGTGCGCAGCCGGTCGACATCTAGATTTGACCGTGTACCCAAGCGCAGACTTCTACATCAGCTAGAACATTTCGAAGTTCGCGGTACTTTACTTCGTTGGATAGATGATTCCCTCACAGATCGATATTACAAAGTTAGAGTTGGCGAATCTTTCTCACAGGACAGGTTAGTGGAAAGTGGAGTGCCTCAGGGTTCTGTCCTTGGACCTCTGCTTTTTACGGTTTATTTATACCAGTGATGTTCCTTATTATGTTTCGAGTAAGATATCGTTCTACGCTGATGACACAAAAATATATGCCAATTCAATCACAAACCAGCTAACCCTCCAAATGGACTTGGACTCTATTTTAACTTGGTGTTCCCAGTGGTTACTACCCTTAAATGCGAAAAAATGTGTAGTGCTTCGAATTATTAAAAATAACCCACTTGTGCCGTACTTTGTTAACGGGCAGCCATTAGATTCTGTGTGTTCGTATAACGATCTTGGTGTTATCGTAAACAGCAGCCTAACTTGGTCCGATCACATTACCTCTATTTGTAAACGTGCGAACTCCAAACTGTATCTTATTCGGATGTGTTTTTCGAGAGTTTCAATGGAATCATTCTGTAAACTTTACACTCTTTACGTAAGACCCATACTTGAATACGCTGAACCAACGTGGTATCCTGATTTGGTTCGAGATAAGACTTTGTTGAAAAACGAATTCCGTTGGGACCGAGAAGACCTTCTTATGCAGAAAGACTTTGTATGGCTAACCTAACTTCTTTTGAACTTCGCCAACAACGTGGAGACTTATTACAACATTTAAAATATTAAACTTCAATTTTGGAAATCTCGATGAAATGTTTACTATAAATCAAGATGAACGCCTCAGAGGTCATCAGTTTAAACTAAAGAAAGAACATTTTTCTACAGGATTAAGACAGAACTTTCTACCAAATAGAGTTTTTGAGTGCTGGAATAACCTTAATATTCAATCAACGCCTTAATGATAACATTGTCTCTGCTCCCTCTACCAACTCGTTCAAAAACATACCGTTTTATATTATAGTTAAAATATTGTTTTTCTTTCAAACCAAAATTGTAATTTTATTTCTTTTTTGTAATTTTGTTATTTACTAGTATGTTATTAATGAAATTTCTTTGTTTTTGGGCTTGTTCTTCTGCCCTCGCTTATGAATAATAATAATAAAATTAAAGAGCTATTATTTATACTATATAAAAAATTAAATACCTACAATAAAGTAAAATACAACTTCCCTAGGACTCTGAAAAAAAAACTTGTCCAGACCGAAAAAAATACTAAAAACAAAACCACGTCCACCGTGATTGTGAGCTTTGTTCTCCCAAAATGAAAAAGAAAAGGTTTCTTGAAGTTATATTGTCAGTGTTATTTATTGGATCTCCTACATGACGTTGAAAAACTTCTTGTTGAAATGAAAAAATTGCTAACATTATTAATTTGCTAGATATAAACTTATCTTAATGATTCTAGGTTTCTGTAGGTACTATTTTTGGCACCGTAGGCGAAGATATTCCTGGTCTTAAGGAATCTTCTTGTAGTTTAGTGGAAACATTTTCTGACCCTGTCCACCTAAGTGATGTGAACTTGATGACACGAAATCTTATAAATTATATGAAATATATATGAACTCAAAAGTTAGAAGCGATAACCGTAACAATTCTCACGTTTTAACGTTACCTTCATTCAATACATACGGCCAAAAATACTGCAAGAATACATTACTTGGTTGTCTACACAAGGTTACTAAATGAAAGCAGAAAAACAAAAAGTACAGATATTGTTTATTAAACAATTACAAAAACTTTGATCCAATTAATAATTAAAATAAGTAATTATTTAGCGGTATCCATTTATGTTTATTGTGCGTTTGTAAAATCCATTCCTGATCTAAACATTTCGCTTGTTTGTTGACTTCCTTTAACGTCTTACTATTTTCCTTAGTTGTTATTATTATGTCAACGTTACTTGTTATATCATCGGTACAATTCCTAAAACAGAAAATAAGTCGATATATATATATATATATATATATATATATATATATATATATATATATATATACTTCTAGCGGTTAATGTGGGCTCCGTACTAAAACGGTATTATACTAACTCCAGGAGAATATACGCCGTGTATATTATTATCTGAGTAGCGCTTTATGTGGACTCCGACCAACACGTCGGATCATGTAGACTCCGTAACTGGATAAAACATTTTTGGGATCCGTATACAGCTTTTAGCGTACACAACTAAGCTCCTGCGATGTTGCCAGTAGTTGTATTAGTCGTAGATTTTCAAATTTTAGAGCAGGTACATTTTAGAACTTAAAATTTATTTAAATATCCACCAGGTTAGTCATCGAGGAATTCCAAGAATATTTGGCTACTGTTTTTAAATATATGATAATATAAATGGTTAATATAATTTTATTTTATTTTTATGTTTAATAAGCACTTTGATAATTTAAATTACTTGCTCTAATTATTTTCAAACTTTAGTATCCATTATAAACTTATTAATGCTAATATATAGCATTATTTTATAGCATTCTAATATTTTAGCTATGGATTAAATCCGAATAGCGTTTTGATATTACTTTACTTTCTCGGAGACATTATATTGTAACACAAGGATCTTATTAAATTACCAAAACCTTCCTTTCATATTTTATTCACTTATAAGGGGCAGCACTAACATCAGTAAGATAATAAGGCGAACCTATAGTTCTGGGCAGCTTAATAGAAAACTTGAATGTAGCAATTTTATTGGTTTCGGGACTGCTAACTGGATTGGGGAAGCAGGATATCAGCATTAAGTTAATGCATATAGGAATTGTTGCTTGACGGTTGGAATATCAAATACCAGAAGGCACGACGGTAGCAGTCTGAGAAAGCAAAGCAAAACAACTTAACTATTATTAGACAATATCATATTTCCTAATAAACTAATATTCACTTTATAACGGGACAAAAAGATATCGAAACAGTATATACATACCAACGGGTTTCCTATGTCGGCATCCAGCAAAATTGTTGTAATATTGATACGGGAGACAAAAACCTTGAGAGAGAAATTGGCGCCAAGAAACTCTGCCTTAATAAACAGTCGAATAAAATACAGATTCTCGATTTAAATAGTCAAAAAATTAAAGAACAATTTATTAAAATAGAAACAGCGCCGATTTACGATGTAATCCATTAACGGCTCAAGGTACAAAGCAGCTCCTAGTTATGCTGATGATTACATCTATAAATATGTAAACGACATACTGAACAAAGTCCAGAGAGTACGAAAAAAGTTTCAAGTAAAATCAACGAAGTGAAAACCAAATACCAGCGCATAAACAAGAGACCGTCAGTAAATCTAGATACAACGTTAAAGTCAACAATTTCAATTTCGAAAGTATGGAAGACATTAAATATCTTAGAACAATAATCGCAGTTGGTAATACTACCACTGAAGAAGTTTAGAGCATAATACAAGCTTTAGACCTATTTTTATGTACGGATGCGAATCATTACAATGACTAAAACAAATAAAAAAAGACTTCAAATATTGATAGATAATTGATAGGGAATAAGCACATCTATAGATAAGAATGAACAGATCATACAAGGTGGATAGCAAGGATTTCGGATTGGAGCCCAATAGGAAGGAGAAAAAGAGGTAGACCCCGAAGATTATGGAGGGATAAAGTGGACGAGGCCATGGAAAAACGAGACCTTAGAGATGGAGAATGGCAGAACAGAGAGGACTGGAGACGTTGGCTGAAAGAAGGAAGGCGGCGACAGCTGTAAAAATCCCTATATAGATAGATAGATAGATAGATAAGAATGAATAACATGAGGAACAAAAGAAACTGTGTATAAACTTGAAATTTCAGAAATATTAATTAAATGAATTAATGTAAATCGTAGGAAAAGAAATAAGAGGAGCCATGACACAGTGAAAAACTAGAAATCTTATGGAAAACACAACATTATACAATAAACTATTACATTTGCTCTTTAGCACGGTGAGAAGATCAAAATACAAATCTGCATACATAATTATATTAAAGAAAAGTTAATAAAAACTTCTGTTCGTCAGCAGCCAGAGAAATTACACATTATAATATATTGAATAATGCTTTTAATAATAATGATAATAATAATAATCTTTATTAATAGCACATGGTTAGAAAAATATACATACAAATACATCAATTTATACCCTTAAAATTAAATCACAATGCTTTGCTTAACATATATATCTTACATAAATTTTTAAATTGAGCTAAGTTTCCAGAAGCCTTAATGTTTTCCGGTAATTCATTGTATTGCTTTAATCCCCTATAAAAAAGATTGTTCTGACCAAAATTAGTGTTGACCCTATTCAGATAAAAGTTATTTCTAGAACGTGTGTTGTGTTCATATACATCTCGAACAAAGGTACAATTATTACACAAATGCACAGGTATCAGACCATTTAACATTTTATAAACAAAAATCATACTATTACATACAATTGTCTGTCTTACACTTAAAACATTTGCCATTGTTAGCATGTCAGTTCTACTAGTGTATACACTACATCCTAATATTATCCTTAAGGCTTTATTTTGTTTTTTCTGCAGTACGTTCATTTGAGAAGCATTCATTAAAAACAGCAATGTAGAGCAAAAATAGAGATGGGGAGCAATAATCGATTTATATATGGTCAACCTAGACCAGCAACTTAAATTTTTTGACATTCTTCCCAATGCATAGATTTTTTTTGCTATTTTGTTTGTAACTAACTTAAAATGTTCAACAAAACTTAAATTTTCATCTATAATACATCCCAAATACTTATACTGAACAACTCTCTCCAAAGCAGTATTATTAATTTTTACATCTTTTATTATGTTATTTAATTTAAAATTTTTATTCTTTATAAGCATCATTTTTGTTTTAGTTACATTAAGACTTAAGGAATTATTATCGAGCCATTTTAATATATTACATATCTCTTCATTTATTATATCGATTATTTCATCTACCTTATCCTCTATTGCATATATCACAGTATCATCGGCAAACAACTGTACCTTACACTTTTTAACAACATCAACAATATCATTTATATACAGTATGAAAAAAGTAGGACCTAACACAGTTCCCTGTGGCACACCATACAGAGACTTCTGAGCCGATGAAATGGCACCATATTTTGTCACTTGTGTTCTATCAGTCAAATATTCTTGAAACCACTTTATAATTTTTTCACCAAAGCCATACCTTTCCATCTTTCTCAATAGCAGTTGTCTGTTTATGGTTTCAAATGCACGTTTAAAGTCTAAGAAAACCACACCAATCATTTTTCCGCACTCCAGCGCACCCTTCCAGTCAAACAAAACCGTCTGCATTGCACTCTCACAGGAATTTCCTCTCCTAAACCCTGCTTGGAATTTAGTTAACACATTATTGCTTTCCAAGTACACCACTATTTGATCATTTACACATAATTCCAGCAGTTTTTCGTATGGTGGTACCATATTTATGGGTCGAAATTCCTCACACTTAACAGTTCCATGAACCTTCTCAATTGGTACAACCAGACTTCTCTTCCATTTACTTGGGAATACGCCACTTTCTAGACTACCATTTATAATATGCAAAATTTTGTCGCCTATTACTTCAAAGGAACTCTTTAAAATTTGAACTGTAATACCATCAACATTACTTTCTTTGTTTTTCATTTCTTTCATTTGTTTTTTTAAATCTTTCATTTCTAACATTTTGAATTTTTCGATTTTGCAGTTGACATTTATTGAACTACAAATTTCTTGGTGGGTTTTGTTTGAAATAATGCTATCTGCTATGTCTTTTACACTGTCTAGAAAAAATATATTAAATCTTTCACTTATCTCTTTACCAGTAACCCCCCCACCATCAAATATTATTTCACTTTTAGCTTCATGGTTTTTTTTGCCGTTTACAAGCTCCTTTAATGTTTTCCACATTCTTTTTGGGTCGTTCATACAATCATCTATTTTTTCCTGATAATAATTTTGTTTGGTAATTCTGATTAATGCTACGACTCACTTAACTTCTGAAACACCAACTCCCAAGTTGCATGGGTTGATTTTATCTTCAATATTCTTTCTGGTTATTTCACTTGTTTGATTTGAGTCGTTTGGTTTTACTATGATGACTTTTTCTTTTTGTTTTTTCACTGCTTTCCTGTAACTAAGATCGTTATTTGATTTCCACCTTTGGTCACACTGCTCTTTAGTACTACTTTCATTTTTTAAGACTTCATTTTCTTGTTTCAGTAAGTCTATGATTGTGTCCTTGTCTTCTAATGATGCCTCCTTAGTTTTTAATAACTGTTGATAAAGTTTTATGGATTCTCCATTCTGACATTTGAGACATTAGAATTTCATGACACGGCTTGATAGTTGTAAGACTTTCACTTCAGATGCTGTTAATTCGCCACATTCTTTACAAATTGCATCATTACACCCATCACAGTCAAAAACATCTTTGTTTTTAACTTTAATTTGCTTACACATATTACATTTCATGTTTGAGGTTAGGTTCGGTAAAAATCCAAAAAATTTCGAAAATATTCCCGAAATATTCACAAATCCACAAAGCTAAATGTATATTTAAACGACTTGAATACTTTAATTTTAAAAATATCATCAAATCTTAACGATGATCGTGGATTTATTTTAACACTCCAAAACAACAACATACTAGCAACCTGTCATAATGATGACTCGAATGCTTTTAGCATAAAAAAACGGTGTTATAGTCAATAACAAGAAAACCAAATAAAAGTTCATTAACAGACAATAGGTATGATATAGAATGGAGCATTAATGTAACAATAAAACCATATACTTTTGAAGGATTGGAGCTATTTAGATATCGCTGATAACTTTGTCACATAAAAGATAAAAGCGAAAATGCATGTAGCAAACCATAGACATATAGTACAAATAGACTGAATACTGCCATACATT